ATTCCGGTGCTGGGAGGCATATTACCCTTTTACTATATAGGATAGAGGCCTGGTGCACGGGTGGGGGCCGGCTGGTTTGCCCTGAAGGTGTCCTGGATCAGAGTGGGGGTCCCCACTGGGTGTCTGGACAGCCTGGATGAGAGGATGATGGCTGTTTGCAGCTGGTCACACCCCCTTCAGGGTGGGGGTCCCCACTGGGGTGCCTGGCCAGCCTGGATGAGGGGATGATGGCTGTTTGCAGCTGGTCACACCCCCTTCAGGGTGGGGTCCCCACTGGGGTGCCTGGCCAGTCTGGGTGAGGGGCTGAGGGCCGTTTTCAGGCTGGCAGGTGACTGAAGCTCCCAACCTGTCCTTTTTTTCTTTTTTTTTTATTCTGGGCCAGCTTTAGCTCTGAGGCTTGGCTCCAGCTCTGAGGCCTCGGCTGCTGAAAGCAGGTATCTGGTTTGTTTGGGTTCTATAATTGTAACACTGTTGCAGTCCTGCTCACTCCAGCTCTGAGATCCTGGCTGGCTGAAAGCAGGGATCTGCGTTTGTTCTATAATTGAAACAATGTTGCGGTCCTGCTGGCTGAAGCCCGGCTGGCTAAAAGCAGGTTTCTGGGGTTTTGTTTAGCTTCTATATTTGTAACAATGTTTCTTAAACTGCAAGCTCAGAGGCCGGCAGCAGCAGGCAGGGAACGTTGGCTTCCTCCGTCACTGAAGCAAGCAAGCCTCCTGTTCACTTCAAGCTGCCTGGCTGCCGGCCGCCATTTTGGCTGGCAGTTAATTTGCATATCGCCCTGATTAGCCAATGGGAAGGGTAGCGGAGGTCTGGCTAATTACCATGTTTCTCTTTTATTAGATAGGATTATTAGTAATGAACTACAATGTTCGCTAATGACATTACTATAATCGTGTTGCATTCATTTCCCTTACGTGCCTTACGCATAGGTGCCCCATTTCTCTCCACTAATACTAGTAGTGAATATTTTAGCAGCGATTGCCACGTCATTAGTCTTGGACTGACTTGTTTGGTGTGCACAACAGGAAATATTTCGCTTTTGGAGAATAAGAAAAATAGGTTTATTTGCGTTATGCTTATTTGTGCAGTCATTCAGTGTCTGGTAAGTTACTGTTCAAGAAAAAGTATTAATTTTTATTAAAATGTTCTATTATTTTATGTTAACGATTACTCATTTATTTCAGCCCTTTGTATTCAGCATGTCTCTATTGAAATAAACCTACGTTTCTATGAAAATTGAAGCTTTTGTTTTTTGGGGGCTCCATAAACTTAAACCTTGTTTATTTGGCTCGGGTTAGCCTTTGAGTTTGACATGCTTGATTTAAAGAATCTGAAAGGCCAGTGTGGTTTAGACAAAAAGGATGTTTGGTATGAAATGAGATTGGAGAGGTGGGAAGAGCCTTTTGGCCTCACGAGGGGCAGTTTTAAGGTGGGGAGGGCACTGGGTGTGGTGACAGCAATGCACAGGGGAGTGCTAATTGCAGAATTCAAGTGTATAAGAGTCTAGTTAGAAGACTGATGGGAATCCAAACAAGAGATGGACAGTATCTTAAACCTGGGCGGTAGCCCTGGATATGGAGAGAAGTGGATGGATTTGAGTGGTATTAGGATGTAAAACTGATGAGACTTTGTGTTGGGTTAGCTATGAAAGTGGGAGAGCAGAGTGGAAAAGATGACATGTGGCTCTGGATGGACCAGGATGCTAGGTTCTGGATATGGAGTCCTGGAAGATGAGATGATTATTTAGAAGATTTATGAGAGTAAATTCAACTGGTAAAATTGAGTCTTTAGTTCTGGATTTAAAAGCTTTTTAGAAAAACATTTCTTGGTTGATCATTAGATTATTTCAATAAAATAACTAATGAAATATTTTTTATAGCTAAAAAGTTAAGAAATTGATTCTGGCCGGTGTGGCAAAGTGGTTGGAACATCGGCCAGTGGACCTAAGGGTCTCTGGTTCGATTCCTGGACAAGGGCAGGTACCTGGGTTGCTGGTTCTTCCCCTGCCCCCTGTAGGGTGCGCACGGAGCATGTGCAGAAGGCAACCAGTCAGTCAGTGTATCTCTCTCACACAGGTGTTCTCACACCAGTATCTATCTCTCCTCTTCCTCCTCCCTCCCTACCTTCTACTTTCTCTGGAAAGCAGTGGAGAAAATATTTTCAGGAGAGGATTAACAAAACAAAGAGTTGAGAAATTGGCCAAAGGTATACGATGGCTTTTTGCCAGTGTTGTAAATCATCGTTTTAGCTCTTAAACAGTCAACCTAGATATGAAGAGTACTTTGTGCTCCTCATGGAAGAGCAAAACCAGAGCCAAGGGACAAATGACCTGAAGGATTGGTGACCATGGTGCAGTCCTCTGGGATGGGGGCTGCACAACCCAGGCTGGAACAGGGCAGATGGGACAGTTTGCAGGTCTTCAGGCAGGAATAAGAACTTTGTGAAACTCCTTTGGAAGGTATGAGAAATAATTTTAAAGTCATAGAAATTGCAAAGTTAATTTCACAAATACTTAAACCACTAGATTCTATGTCCCTTTGATCCAGTCATCCTCCCTGGAAAGAACAGATGTTAATATGAGCTTGTGAATTTCAGCTATATAAGAAAGAAAAGCAGTGAGTGAACAAATAAAAGAAGTTATTTTCACTCCTTAGTCTACTTGGTTTCAAAATACACATAAGCAATTTAATTTCTTACAGGACAAGACTCCCTACAACCCCTCATGATTATATTTACTACACCATCTATTTAAATTGCATTCCAGGAAGTTTCCTTAAAAATACATTATCAGTACCTCCCAAAGAGGTACTGCAAAAGGTAATGCAAAATAACAGATCACAAAGGTTACCTGCAAAGAAAAGAGGTAATGCAGAATCTTCTTATATAATAAAGAGGTAATATGCAAATTAGCTCTCACACCCTCACAAGATGACTGCCTACGACCAGGCAGGCAAGGGGGTTAGTGAGGGACGACCAAACGACTGAACAAGCAGGCTGCGTGGGGCGACCAGGCCGGCAGGGGGTGCAGTTGGGGCGACCAGGCTGGCAGGGGTGGGGGGACAGTTAGGGGTGACCAGGCCAGCAGGGGGGCAGTTAGGGGCAATCAGGCCGGCATGCAGAGGCAGTTAGGGGCAACCAGGCAGGCAGGCAGGTGAGCAATTAGGAGCCAGTGGTCCAGGATTGTGAGAGGGATGTTTAAACCGGCAGTCGGACATCCCCCGAGGGTTCCTGGATTGGAGAGGGTGCAGGCTGGGCTGAGGGGACCCCCCCTCCCATGCATGAATTTCGTGCACCGGGCCTC